ACAACATGCTCAAATTTTGGAGTTAAGGTTCATAGTATTTTTTCCTTAACTCGAACATCATCAATTTCTTCTCCATACCTTCGCATTTGATTCATAATCACCAAAGTTCTTGAAAAATACTCTGAAATTGACTCGACTCCCTTCAAATTCACTTCGCAATATTTGAAGATGAACCTGAATTATTTTATCAATGCCTCTATGTATACTCTTCAAAATTTCCCAAGCATGCTTCGAGGTTGTGGCGGAAGAAATCTTCTCAGAAATGTTATCGCCAATACATTGGTAAAGTAGGAATAAAGTCTTCTTATCCATCTTTCTTGATTGCTTAAGCACCGTCTTTTGACCATCATTAACTGATTGCTCTTCCTCCGTAGTCAACTCGATGTAACCTTTTTCAACAATTTTCCAAAGATCTTGTGATTGTAACAAAACCTTGATTTGAATAGTCCAATTCCCATAATTATCTTTCCCTAATTTGGGAAATTGAGGTTGAAGCACATTACTCATAGTTTTCATAACAACCTGCTCTAATACCAATTTTGTTGAGTATTAGAAGCAAAATAGATCACCAAAAAATACAAAAACAGAGGACAAAAATTTGCTCCACTACCACACTAATTTCACTTAAAAAAAACCTCTATATTTCATAAAAAAAAATGATCACAATATCAAGGAATATAAGGGGAATAACTTATCTGAAATTTTCAGCAAGAACAACTCATAAAATAAGCTATCAACCAGAGCTTCTGCTCTTGAACAGGCTGCTGTTTTTTCTGGCAGCAACACTATTTTTCTACTCTCTTTTTTCTGCACAGAAACACTCTGTTTTGGCAGTAGCAATCCAACCCCTTTTATATGCCTATGTTCCAGCCAAAAAGTGCATGAATCTGCTCATTCAATGTCCAGCTGCCTTCATGCATGAAACCAGATTTTGTCCCTTCAGTTTTTTTCACATAGCAGTACATGAACACTCCTCCAAATACATGAACAGACCTCCCAAAATATTCTAGACACTTGTAGTGACCATCTCTTCAAATACTATGACTTATCATAAACTCAAAAATACAAAAAAATACCCTTTAAGAATTGAGTTTATAAAAACAAACAGACATTGCTTGAGGGCAAGACTCCGGTCCGCTAAAATACGAGCAAAAGCATGAACCAAGGCAGTCCAGACTTCAACGGCAGTGTTAAGGCCAACGACAATGACAGGAACTTTTTTGGAGAGAGTGGTAGTGAGCCATACTTTAACAAGAGAGTCTTATTTACGCCACTGGACAAATGTGAGATTTGACTGATATCAGGAAGAAGAGTTGGTGGGGGTTTGGTATCGCCAATGATAAAACCATGGATATCATAACTCTCAAGGATGTTATGCATTTGTGTCTTCCAAAAAAGGAAGTTGGTGAACTAGAGACGTAAGGACACAAAATTAGTGACATTTTGTGTCACGGGATAGGGTTAAGTATCGATTGGGGTAGAGGAAGGAGAATGGGAAGACATGGTGGAAGAAGAAGAGCTGGACATGCTAAAAACGAAAAAATATGGCGGAAAAAAAAGTCTCTTAACTCACCGTTAGCTTTGATACCATAAAGACTTTTGAGAAACAGTCTTTCTCACCGTAAATTTGAGGGAGTGGTTGTACTCTATCAAATAAAGAACCTTACAGCATTTATCTATACCATTTGATGGGTATTTACAATGCAACAGAAAATGATTAGATATAGAACTAAAAAGATAATGCCTATCTATCTATCTCCTAGTGTACAAGCTTTTGAAGTTTTAAATAGTTGCGGTATCAAGGTAGGGGAGAATGTTTCCAAAATGTACTTGTTATATGTGAGTTTGACATTGTGGTCACATTTGTGTGGGCAAATTGGGATAGGGTAGCACATGACTCAAGTGTTTTAAAAGAAATTATGAGTGATTCAGCTAATAATTTTCTAATTATTCCTCCAGGTTAGATAGTAATATTTAATTAATGTTGCAAAATATTTATTAGGATAAATAATTTGAAATTTGTCTTGCATATAAGTATTTTTATTCGATGCGGCATATATACATACTTGTGGATTTATGACACGCTATTGTAACGTGCAGTATTGGTATCAAGGTCACAGAACTATGGTTCAATAAAAGATGAAGCATACAAGCATCTAGAGAATGGTAAAAATGAAGAAGGATCCCTTTTTGAATTGACACGACAGAAGCATGGAAGTATGTGTTGAATTCCTTATGATGAGAAGAAGGAATTGATAGGAAAAGGTGAGCATAGTTAAGAGGTTAGAATTTATGATTAAAAAGATGCTTGGTGAACTTGACTTCAAAAAATTGGGTAAAGTCTTATCAGATTTTATACAGGCATGTACTTCGATACCTATCGATGATAACCCAGTTAAGTGAATAGTGTCAAGGATAAATGAAGACATCATACCAATGTGGAAGAGCATGGCATTGCAAGACGAGGACCATAAAGCAACGGCTATCCCAATCAACCACCGATTCAGGGATAACGAAGATATGAAAAACTAAATCAAATCATATATCCTTTGTCGCCTCCATTGGGGAACAAAGTATTTCTCCATTCTCTCTACCCCAATCAATCCACTAGGGGTCTAGGTTAATCCACAACCTTTGAGGATGTCTTGATCCTAGGACTTGCATTACAAATGGGATTGATGGAGCATTAGGGTTTTCCTTCAGAGACATAGGACTTGAAAGAGGGAGCAACATCAAGGCTCGAACTCAAAATACCCACGACTTAGGCATCTTAGGAGTAATTTTAGGATAGACTAAATGCTTGATTACTGATTTAGAAATCTTCAAAGATGAATAAAAGTGTCTTTCCTTTTGTTAATCCTTTGTATGTCATTTTACTTGCTTTTAATCCGTTGACTATCCTGATCCAAGGAAGTCCTAAAATAAAGCGTTTGAACCCAGCATCAAGGAGTCGCTTCAGATCACTCTGTTGAAGGATTGCTCTGCCGATTGCAATAGAAAATTTTTTATGGAGACCAATAGACTCGCATGCTAGCTCTTTTTATTTTATGTTCTACTATTGTTTTGTTTGATTAATTAAATATTATATTTTATGTCTAATACTAGATCTCATACTATACAATCACCTCAACATTAGTACGGTATATGTTCTTCTTCATTATTTAACTGTTGATTTTGCTATTGTTCGTAAGTTACTGCTANACCAACGACTATCCCAATCAACCACCGATTCAGGGATAACGAAGATATGAAAAACTAAATCAAATCATATATCCTTTGTCGCCTCTATTGGGGAACAAAGTATTTCTCCATTCTCTCTACCCCAATCAATCCACTAGGGGTCTAGGTTAATCCACAACCTTTGAGGATGTCTTGATCCTAGGACTTGCATTACAAATGGGATTGATGGAGCATTAGGGTTTTCCTTCAGAGACATAGGACTTGAAAGAGGGAGCAACATCAAGGCTCGAACTCAAAATACCCACGACTTAGGCATCTTAGGAGTAATTTTAGGATAGACTAAATGCTTGATTACTGATTTAGAAATCTTCAAAGATGAATAAAAGTGTCTTTCCTTTTGTTAATCCTTTGTATGTCATTTTACTTGCTTTTAATCCGTTGACTATCCTGATCCAAGGAAGTCCTAAAATAAAGCGTTTGAACCCAGCATCAAGGAGTCGCTTCAGATCACTCTGTTGAAGGATTGCTCTGCCGATTGCAATAGAAAATTTTTTATGGAGACCAATAGACTCGCATGCTAGCTCTTTTTATTTTATGTTCTACTATTGTTTTGTTTGATTAATTAAATATTATATTTTATGTCTAATACTAGATCTCATACTATACAATCACCTCAACATTAGTACGGTATATGTTCTTCTTCATTATTTAACTGTTGATTTTGCTATTGTTCGTAAGTTACTGCTATTCACATATAAGTCACTTTTTGTTCATGCTATTATACTACGTCTAGGTTGTTTAATTTTAAAAGTTAATATGTTAATTAATTTATGCAACTATTATGTCTATACAAACTGTATACTTTGCTAATTTCCCCAACATCCTTTGCTAGTTGTTTACACTCATGGGTCACCCTGTAGCCGCAAGGCCGAAAGAAAATTGATAAAAAAAAAAAGAGTCCACATACATAATTTAACAAAAGGGTATCACTACAATACCCAAAAAGAATTCTAATACTTCATCGAAAGTTTCTACTTTTAAGGTTAAAATATACATTTTAAATGTGAAATTACAAATGTTTGAGGTTATTCATGATCAATCATGAATTATTTCAATCAATTATAACTTGACCTTAAAATATTACAACTTTCAGTAAGGTACCTCATTCGTCTTTGCCATTAACATACGCTGATCTTGACCATTGTATCCTTTGATAGTTGTCTATACTATTTTGTGCTTAGCTAATAAATGAATACAAATTTTGAAATTTAACGTGGACGAATTCCAACTATGTCTTTGGTCAATTCAAGTATCAGTTGGTGAAGTTTCAGCCAATGAATCATATTGGGCATTTTTCATTCTAGCTTATTATTTCCTGCATCAAACTAGTTATTTCTAGTTCATTTATGAGGTGGATACTTAATGTTTTCCTTTTTCACAAGAAATCAAGATGTTATATGAGGTTAGGACTATGTTAATTGGGTCTTATTACACACCTTTTAGATATTAGTTGAATGGTAACTCTTAAGGAGTTTTGTGTCTCCAATCCTCCAATATTACGATATAGGTCCTTTCTAGTGATTTAAATTTGAAACCCCCTCCACACTGTACACTCTCAAAAACAAAAGGAAAAAAGAAAGACTAAGGCGAGAATTAAAAAATCGAGAGCAAGATAGTAAATTTTTTGGCAAAGAACTCTTTTATTATTTGTTATTTATAGAACATCTAACACAGGCATTGATGACACATACATGGCACAATGACAACAAAAGAAGAAAAACATAGTTAAGCCCTTGATAACAATATCTTATTCTATAGGCATGCCTGGCGCCTTTACTCTTAAACTCAATATCTTGTCCATGAGGTAATGGTCATGGAGATNGGCCTTGATAACAATATCTTATTCTATAGGCATGTTTGGCGCCTTTACTCTTAAACTCAATATCTTGTCCATGAGGTAATGGTCATGGAGATGGTCATGGTAAGGGTAAAGATTTTAGTAGATAGGAGGCGGCGGTGATTTTGATAGCTTAGGAGGCGACAGTGATTTCGGTAGCCTAGGAGGTGGTGGTGATTTATATGGTTTAGGAGGCGGCGGTGATTTTGTTAGGTTAAGGGGTGGCGGTGACTTTAGTATGTTAGGAGGCGGTGGGGATTAGGATACACGAGGATGCAATGACGATGGTGTGGGTTGAGATTTTGGTAGGTTAAGAGGCGACAGTGATGGAGATGATGATGGTGATGGTAAGGGTGGGGATTTTCGTAGGTTGAGAGGCAATGGAGATTGAGATGGTGATGGTGGAGATTGGGTTACGCTAGTAGGTGATGGAGATAGTGAGGGTGGAGATTTGGGTAGGTTAGGAGGCGATGGTGATTTAGAAGGTGAGGATGAGGGTGGAGAGTTTAGTGAGTCAGGAGGCAGCAGTGATAAAGGTGGTGAGTGTGGAGATGGGGATACTCCCGGGGGCAATGGTGATTGAGATGGTGAGGATAAGGGTGAAGATTTTGGTGGGCTAAGAGCGAGCGGTGATGGAGATGGTAATGGTGATGGCAAGGGTGGAGATTTAGGTAGTCTAGGAGGTAACGGTGATGGTGGAGATAGTGGTGCTCTAGGAGGTAATGGTGATGGGGATGGGGAGGGTGAGAGTGAAAATATAACTACGTCATAACCCAATGCGAATGGAGATGGTGATGGTGATGATGGAGATTGGGATATGCCAAGAGATAATGGCGATGGAGATGGTGATAGCAAGGGTGAAGAATTCGGTTGTTTAGGAGTCAACGTTGATGGAACTTATGATGGTGATAGTGGAGATTGGGATACATCGGGAGGTTTCGATAGGTTGAGAGGCAATGGAGAAAGAGATGGTGATAGTGGAGATTGGGGTACGCCAGGAGGTGTTGGAGATGGTGAGGGTGGAGATTTGGGTAGGTTAGGAGGCGATGGTGATTTAGAAGGTGAGGATGAGGGTGGAGAGTTTGGTGAGTCAGGAGGCAACAGTGATAAAGATGGTGAGTGTGGAGATGGGGATACTCCAGGGGGCAATGGTGATTGAGATGGTGTGGATGAGGGTGAAGATTTTGGTGGGTTAAGAGCTAGCGGTGATGGAGATGGTAATGGTAATGGCAAGGCTGGAGATGTAGGTAGTCTAGGAGGTAACTGTGGTGGAGATGGTGATGGAGGAGATAGTGATGCTCTAGGAGGTAATGGTGATGGGGATGGGGAGGGTGAGAGTGAAAATATAACTACGTCATAACCCAATGCAAATGGAGATGGTGATGGTGATGATGGAGATTGGGATATGCCAAGAGATAATGGTGATGGAGATGGTGATGACAAGGGTGAGGAATTCGGTAGTTTAGGAGTCAACGTTGGTGGAACTTCTGATGGTGATGGTGGAGATTGGGATACGCCGGGAGGTTTCGATAGGTTAAGAGGCAATGGAGATGGAGATGGTGATGGTGGAGATTGGGGTACGCCAGGAGGCGATGGAGATGGTGAGGGTGGAGATTTGGGTAGGTTAGGAGGCGATGGAGATTTAGAAGGTGAGGATGAGGGTGGAGAGTTTGGTGAGTCAGAAGGGAGCAGTGATAAAGATGGTGAGTGTGGAGATGGGGATACTCTAGGGGGCAATGATGATTGAGATGGTGAGGATGAGGGTGAAGAGTTTGGTGGGCTAAGAGCTAGTGGTGATGGAGATTGTAATGGTGATGGCAAGGGTGGAGATTTAGGTAGTCTATGAGGTAACAACGATGGAGATGGTGGAGATAGTGATGCTCTAGGAGGTAATGGTGATGGGGATGGGGAGGGTGAGGGTGAAAATTTAAATAGGTTAGAAACCAATATGAATGGAGATGGTGATGGTGATGGTGATGATGGAGATTGAGATATGCCACGAGATAATGTTGATGGAGATGGTGATGGCAAGGGTGAAGAATTCGGTTGTTTAGGAGTCAACGTTGCTAGAACTTGGGATGGTGATGGTGAAGATTGGGATATGCCAAAAGGCTGTGGCGATGGAGATGGTAATGGTGGGGGAGGAGATTTGAATAGGTTGGGAAGCAATGATGGAGATGGTGATGTAAATGGTGAAGATTTTGGTTGGTTAGGAGGCAACGGTGATGGAGATCGTGATGATAGAGATTGTGATATGCCATGAGAAACTAGTGATGGAGATGGTGATGTTGGAGGTTGGGAAACACTAGATAGGTTAGGAGGCAATGGTGATGGAGTTGGTGGAGATTGGGATATGATAGGAGGCAATGGCGATGGAGATGGTGATGGAGAGGGTGGAGATTTGAGTAGGTTAGGAGGTAAAGGTGATGGATATGGTGATGGTGACCGAAAGGGTGGAGATTTTGGTAGTTTAGGAGGCAATGGTAATGGAGATGGTGATGGTGTAGACTGGGTTATGCTAGAAGGTAATGGTGATGGAGATGGTGGTGGTGGAGAATACAATATTCTAGGAGGTAATGGTGATGGGAATGGAGAGGGTGAGGGTGAAGATCTGAATTTGTCAGAAGACAATGCTAATGGAGATGGTGATGGTGAGCTTGGAGATTTGGGTAGATTAGGAGGAAGCGGTGATGGAGATGGTGATGGAAAAAGTGGTTATGATTTCAAAGTATTAGGTGATGTTGGTGATTTCAAAATAGGAGGTGGTGGTGGTGATGATTTCCAAGTATAAGGTGGGGGTGGGGGTGGTGATTTCAAAATAGAAGGTGGTGGTGGTGGTGTCACAATATAAGGTGGTGGTGGTGGTGATGATTTCCGAGTATAAGGTGGTGGTGGGGGTGGTGATTTCAAAATAGAAGGTGGTGGTGGTGATGATTTCCAAGTATAAGGTGGTGGTGGTGGTGGGGGTGGGGATTTCAAAATAGAAGGTGGTGGTGGTGTCACAAAATAAGGTGGTGGTGGTGGTGATGATTTCCAAGTATAAGGTGGTGGTGGGGGTGGGGATTTCAAAATAGAAGGTGGTGGTGGTGATGATTTCCAAGTATAAGGTGGTGTTGTGGGTGGTGATTTCCAAGTATAAGGTGGGGGCGGTGACTTGGGATGGAAAGGAAAAGGTGGTNAATATAAGGTGGTGGTGGTGGTGGTGATTTCCGAGTATAAGGTGGTGGTGGGGGTGGTGATTTCAAAATAGAAGGTGGTGGTGGTGATGATTTCCAAGTATAAGGTGGTGTTGGTGGTGGGGGTGGGGATTTCAAAATAGAAGGTGGTGGTGGTGTCACAAAATAAGGTGGTGGTGGTGGTGATGATTTCCAAGTATAAGGTGGTGGTGGGGGTGGGGATTTCAAAATAGAAGGTGGTGGTGGTGATGATTTCCAAGTATAAGGTGGTGTTGTGGGTGGTGATTTCCAAGTATAAGGTGGGGGCGGTGACTTGGGATGGAAAGGAAAAGGTGGTAAAGATGGAAGTGGTGGAAAATATGGAAACTGAATAGGCATTTTAGCTGCCACATTCATGGCCATCAAGCAGATGACTACGGTGTATAGTGCCATTGGTGACCAAAGCGGCTTCGGCCAAACACGCGTTTCCATATCTGGAAACACTTGGAAGTAAGGTATGAAGACTGCTTGATGGAGAACTAGATTAGAGGCAAACCCTATTTATAGTGGCCACAGAGAGACACTTATTTAATGAAGTTTACGAAGTTTCTACCGATTGCAATTACTAGGATAAGTTTAGGAATGTCAAAAGAAAAAACAAAACCAGCACCATATCAAAAATTAAACAGCTAATCTTGGTTTGTTGCAAGACCATTATCAAAAATTTACTTTTCAAGACCATTACTAATCTTTTCGTCCCAGTGTAAAGCTCTTTTATTGTATTATATAATCAATGGTTACTGCAGTGGTATCATTGCTTTATCCTTTGGTTACATTATTTGATTGACTTGTTTCATTAATATTTTTGGTAGTGGATAACTATCACAATATGTACCATGTGAAGTACTGGTTGCACGCAAATCTTGATGCATTTAAAAAATCATTCACAAATCCCATGGATCAGTTACACGTGAGTGTTATAGGGCAAATAAGGCTCGAACTTAGAACGTGAGGTTTATGCCTCAACCTAGGTTCAACCGTGAACTAATCCGCGCAATATTAAGTGCCATTGAGAGTAATTAATTTATTTTGTATCTCTGCATGAGAGAAAACAAAATGATCTAGGTAAGTAGGTCAGTTAAAAATTACGGAAGGAAAAAAAAAAAACAAAGGTAGGTCTGTTAGAAACTTCTAGCTAATGGTACAACTATGGTCCATACGTACTTCAAATGCGCAAGTACAGGGTAAGTTTTACTTGAAGTAAAACGAAGGAGATAAGTCCCCCTCCAGCCATAAACATGGAAATTTAATTCAAGAGTAGTTCAAGTGGTAACAAAAACGAGTTTTAAACCCAGATATTTTGAGTTTGAATTTTGGTAATCCCTTAGAACTAGATAGGATCAAAACCAAATGAGAGTTTAACCTCAAATTTTCAAAAATACCTTTTAGCCCTTTAGATTTCAAAAAACTTTTTATATCCCCACTTAAATTTTCACAATTTTTTTATATATCTATTGTATTCAAATAAATTAAATGGCCTTTAATAACCAAATGGTTAATGCTAATCAAATGGATGAGTGTTTTTTTTATGGACAATGCTAAAATTATTTTGATGATCAAAAAAACGAAAGAAAGTTGTTTATATGATAAATCATGCACTAACGATTAATTTGTCAAAAGTATCGTGTAAAACTAATATTTAACGTAATTTATTCGTAATCACTCTATCATGTCATAAGTAAAAGAATAAGTATATATATCTAAATACATATTTGCACTTACAATCATAAAAGTTAATATGTGACAATGTCAAGATCTACTTAATGTTTTACTTATGACATGATGTATATAAGAGAGGAGAATTTGAACCTTTGACCACAAAAAAATAATGTTTTTATAAAGTAAAGAGTATCATTTGACCAAAGACTCATTGGTTAATTTTCTTATAATATAGTATAACAATTGATGTTTATAAATTTTATACAACTAACAATTTGATATTAACAAAACCATGATCGGTCCCATGAATAAAATTTTTGGCCATGTCATTGTTCCTTTTACAAGCTCCCCTCACGTTTAAATCCTAGTTTCATCCATAGTGTCAGGCCATGAAGGATTTATCTCTCATGAATACTCTAGTTTCAGCGTGGGTAAAGCTTTTGATTGGACCTGGAAAGAGAGTAGTCGAGATGTGTGTATATATATATATATATGTTAATCCCTAAAAATTAAAATCTAGAAATCTAAAAACCCTAAAGTTTTACTAGTGTTTATAACTTTCTTATATATGATGTATTGATATTTATGGCTTTGTTATTGTGTTTTATTGTAATTGTTTATGTATTATTGAATTTATTGTATTTTCTTTAGTTTTATTGGTTTATCTTGTTAGTTAATTGGTGCAAGTTACTTAATTAAATTGTTTAAATGATCTAAAAATTAATAACTAAAAAATATGTGTTTATCCGATTTCCTATCCGACTTTCTACCTGATTGTTTTGGCCAAAATTCGGGTAAGAATATTACACTTGATTGGGTAGGATAGGGCAAGAATAAATTCTTCAGCAAAGTATTAAGTAGGAAGATAAAATATCATAATTCATATTCGTAAGGTAGAATGAGCACCCCTACTTTTCATTAGAATGAGACTGAAAATAAAAATCAAAAGATATGACACTAACATAGTAATCAAAATTAAATTTTAAATGAATAAAAATAGGATAAAAAACACTATTACATCCACACCATGTCATTTGATCCCTCTTTTTTATCTTATTTTTTGATCAATCTAACATTAACCAAACAAAAACTCTAATCCTTGAGAATGGTCCCTGTTTGTAGCTAAAATGGGTGAAGTGGCACTGCTATGGGGGTTAGCCTTTGGGTTATCTTAAATAATATTGGTCCTGCTAAGATGTTAAAGCTTCTATATGTGGATCTCCATTAGAATTACTTCTTATTTTTCACAAAAGTTATCGAATTTTCACCATCAACTTAATTAATAAATCTCTTTTTTAGGATGAGTTTAAGTTGAATGAAATCCTTACTTCAAGCATTACACCAGTTGGACATGTGTTATTAGAATTCAACCGTCACTTTAAATCATTGCATCTTTACCTTTGTTATTTAATGCTTCGGTGCACTGTTGGAGATTAGTAAGTTTCCAGATTACGCATAAATATAGAAAAAACTAGAGATAGAGGACTAATATTGAACAATGAACATAGAAATCAAAAAGCATACTAGTTTTTGTTTGTCCTTATACTACATTCTGATACACAATCCTCTCTCTCAATATACTAATCTAAGTATCCTGTGTCTTATGATTTTCTATTCGATTTGGGAACGATCAAGAGTAAGAACTAAGATGATCTATGTAGTTTGCGTCGACTTACAAGTTGATAACCTCATTCTAGTCGATTATGTTAAGTTAAGCTTTCATAACATCCCTACATCTGCGAGTGCAAGCTTGTAGGGAAACAATAATTGAATCCTAGGTGAGCATGAAAAATGGAATCCTACTGGGCTTTTTGCTCATCCTACGCATAACATGTTTCATATTTTAGTATTGAGGAGGATCTCGGACTAGGTGAGCAAGTAAAATGGGATGCAGATTTTGAGGCATAGAGATGCTTATTTAGTTTATGATTCTGAATTATGGAAGTTTTGAGATATTCTTTTATCAATTAGTTGATGGGTTATTATTTTGACTTTAAGGGGTTATTATGTTTGTTTTGGGATTTGACTTTAAGGGGTTATTGTGGATGATTTTCATTTCTGTTTGGCATCGTATTACTATATGCCCATGGTTACGAGTATTGAGCTAAACTTATTACTATATACTATTTCCTCCATACGTTGTTATGTACTTCATGCATGATACAATGATGCATGTAGTTGAGATTTATGTAATAATTGGGAGATTGGTTATAGACGGTTTAAGTCTTGTCATAGTCAATGCTTTTGATTCAATGCATAAACCAGAACTTCATCTTCATTGAATCATCGACCTGCCAATTGATTAGCTATAGTATACTATTTGAATGGTTAACTTTCGGGATTACTAGGGTTAATTGGTTGTTGCAAGGTACATAAACCTTCCGGCTAACTTAACAGTTGTTGTGATACGGTTCAACTTACACATCAAACCTACCGGTTAACTTTCCAGTAATATTGTAAAGAGGCATTTTCATAATCTTAAGCAATAGAATGCATATTGGATCCCCGAACTAAAGAGTAGCATTTTTCAATTATTGTAATCAAAAGTTTAATTTAAGTATTTACTTATCAGTTCTAAGTTCACATCATAAGCTATTGTAATGTACACTACGTGCACAACAATCTTAGCTTTTCTATTTTGAGTTCCAACAGATAACTCCTTATAAATTTGATCTCGGACTTAATTGAGTAATACTACAGCTTGACCACTTATACTTGGGTGTACGATTAAGATCAAGTTAGCAATCTTTAAATTTTTGCATTATGATGTTATACATTAAGGATAATATTAAATTTAGGTTGGGGGGAGGGAACAATCCATAACCGTCTTTGTGACTGATAGACATTAAAGAACCGGATAGTGAGTCTTTTAAAAAAAAATCAAAACTTTTTAAAAAAATGGATGAAAAACTCTTTT